TTTCGCAGCTACCTGGCTGTTCTTTAAGCAGCACTTTAAAGTGCGAGCTTCAGGTTCCCTAAGAGCTTTGAGTCTTTGATCCATGGCCTTAGCTAGTTCCATGTTATTACGATAATTTTCACTAGAAGTACTAAGTGTTCATGACCACATGTCTAATTTGTAGATAGACATAAGAACGTATGTCAAGTTAATACATTAGCTAATATAAACAAAGTTCCATCTGAAGAAAAGATAAAAAGAAAAAGACTTATTGGATTTTGGAGGTTGGCGGGGAGACCAAAACCTATAAGTAGTAGTTCAGAGATTATAAAATTTAGTTTATAATATTCTACATCTACTATCGTCTCAAATAGGTCCAAGTAAATGAGTCATACCAAATACTCAGGCTATTGGAGCCATCAAAGTGAATTTAGAACACTTTGGAAATATAGGAAAAATAACTTGAATTAAATTATTTTAAATACAAATAAAAACCAATGTGTTATCTCATTTGATCTTGATATTTTAGACTGACCGGAGGCCGTATTTCTACAACACAACAAACACGGTAGACGTTTATTCGTACTTCAACTATAAGCGTAAAAGTATATTGTTGTTTGTTATCGTCACTACTCATATAATTCATCTTTAAAAATACACAAGACAACAATGTAATCTTTATAACTGATATATTTGCAGGTGAGGTGAAATTCTATTCAGTTGGCAGTTTAGAGAATATAAAGTGGGCGCTACATGAATTCGCTAGATATGCAGGTGCGACCAGTTGGTGAACTAGTTAGAGTTGTTATCAGAATAGGCAGCATGGTTCAGAGCGATGACTTTTTTTCTTCTTGCGTGGAGTGCATCGATTAATAAGGCGATAGCCTCTCGGGCATTCACAAATCTTGGCGATGGCCTCTCCGGCACTCACAAATCTTGGCGATGGCCAAAGTGAAGCCAAGGAACAAATGCTGAGCCTGTATATCGACCAGCAGTTTTGTAGCAAGATCCAGCTGAACATGCTTTCTGGCATGCAAGGCATCCACATGCGGCTAGTGGCGATGGCCACGCTATATGCGGATGAATGGTACCATTTGCGCAAAGACACCTCGCATGCAGCAGTCGCAGCGTTTGTCCGTGCACTGCGGAAAGATCCGCAGGTGACGGTGCATCCCTTGCAGGAACTCCTCATCTACATGGCGAGTAGATCCTTGTTGAATTTTTTTCTAGATGAATCACCTCGTGATGCACAAACATCAGCGGAAACTGCGGCCTTTTCAGCCAACAACGTTGGTATCCCAGAACGAAAGCTTTTTGGGGAAGAGTGCAACCCCTCTTTTGCGTAGTCAATCAGAACAGCACAACTTGGGTGGCGCCAGCAATGTGGTATATCAGCGTGCAGAGAAATTTTTGGCAGACCAGTGCAATGTTGCGCTGCATACGCCGTCTGATAATGGACGAATTGCTGACTCTGATGTGTCAGCACTCCCGGAACGGGCCACGTTATCTCGGCCTGTAGGGCGACAGGATCCCAAGGCTATCCAGCCGGACTCAGGAGCGGCAGGTATAGGGATAATATTATTAATTTCAAAAAAAGATAAGTTACAATGTATGTATGTTACAATGTATGAACATATGGTATGGCTCTCGTAGCCGTTGTAGTGGTTCGGGAAAGATCGATGGGAAAAAGTGGTCAGTGAATTTCCGTTTGAAGCTTGGGCCGAGTGAGTCGACGATGGAGGACATGCGCCGAGTCAATTCGGGCCAGGGCTGACAAAACACTGATATCATCGAATGTGCCATGTGTTCGCTTGCTGACCTACTAAGTAGCGTACCCACCTCTGTGGTACGGATCGGGTCTGCGCCGTGTAGTACCGTGGACTGGGTTAGTGCAGAGTACGAAATACCGAGTAGGACCAGGTTATCCGTCATAATTCGGTCGAGGAGCGAGGATGGGGGTGAGCCAATGCCGCACCAGACCACGGATACATTCGGTATGTGCTAGCTGGCCTGGATCGGAAGTATCATAGGCGGAACCAAGAAGCGCGATGATTTGGTTTGAACCGAAATTTGGAAGTAGTACTTCAACAGCGTGATTAGCCGGGGTATGGGGAACATCTGCTGATGTGTCAGAGACGGGTGAGGGTACGGTGGTTCTTCTACATGCTGGAGAAAAGATCCAAGGTGTTCGTGGAGGGTCCAGATACCGTGGAAGTCGTGGCACTCCTGTAATTGCTGAAGGAGGTCAGGGCCAATGGGCGACAGTTTCGGGCCTAAAAGGATGCGTCGAATCAGTTGTTGTATGCAGGTAAAGTGGCTGGTGGTGAACTTGTGGCTACCGGGCAGACAGGGCAGAGACAGCCGTCGGTGCGGTAGTTGATCAATGTGAACATGTACGTATTCGTTACAACCATAGCACAGAGCCGGATTGGTGTAGGCTCGAAGCAGCGGTTGAAGCTGTCGTGTCTGGCTTTGTCTCGGTTTGAGGTTGGCGGTTTACCTATAAACAGTTGGTAGTAGTATTGGCGCCGGGCCATTGCCGCGATCTCCTTGTTGGACCAGCGATTTGTTGAGTTCTTCCTGATGTCGTCACAGCGTTGGCGGAGGGCTACATGGTCGGGTGTACGCCCGCCCGTGGTTTAGTGTACAGTTTTCATGTGAGCATAGATACTGTACGGGAAGCGCAGTGATGGTTTGTCGTGGGCCAAGGCGGGTTGCGTCAGGGGGGTGAGTGTATTTGTGCTGGCCATTGAATCGAGTTGTATTCCCAGGCAACCTCCGAGGTAGCCCGCGAATGGTCGCGCGGAGAGCAGGCCACAAAAGTGGAAAAGCGAGAATATTTAGTGCCCGTGATGATGGCTGCTGCTTAGATGAGTGCTGAGTTAAAGCGCTCGAACAGGGGGTCCAACGCATCCTTCCATATAGGCGGAGCCCAGGCAATAATATTCAGGCCATATGTAGCCGTGGATAGGAGGAATATTTCGAACAGCACCAGTCGGTTGCGGGGGTGTCGCCAGCTGAAGCCTTGGAAGCCATAAGCGCGGAAAGAGGCGATACCTATAGACAATGCTGCAACCAGGGATTCCATATGTCTGGCGAGGTTGATCCCTGGTCGTGAGAGCGTGGGAACCTCAGATATTAAGAGCGTTTCGGTTTGGCATGTACGGGCGCCATCTACAGGGGGAGGTAACGTGTGTTGCAAGGTGCGTCTGCAAGCGTCGGCGTGATAAGATCATCATTTATACGGAGATTTGGCGCCGCGTGTCGCAAGTCGGTAGATCGTACTCGGGGTTTAATGACACCCTGTTCGAGGCCAGATTTTCGTCCCCGCGCATCAATGTCATCTGAGAAGGGCTGGAGCGGAACCGATTGAGGGGCTTGAATCCGTGTGTCATCGACAAATAAACTAGAGCGGAGGAGCTTGGACCGAAATTGTGCTAACGTGACAGCTAATGAATCCATGTAGATAATGAACAGCTGGGGGCCGACGATTGAGCCTTGTAGGATGCCGATGCAGAAGTACCCATAGGCGTGGGAGAGCAACCTTGTCGTATGCCTTGGTAATGTCCAGACAAACGTCGTTCCACTCCTCTTCTGACTGTATCTCAGATTCCATGGCGGCAAGTGCTTGGGTATGACAGGAGTACCGTGATTGGAAACCAGCTTGGGTAGCATGGGTAGCAGAGCCGGGGTGGCTCGTAATCAGATTAAGAAAGCACTTTTCAAAGATGCGTTTGACTATTTGCGTAAGCGTGATGGGCGCTTTACAAATAAACGAATAGCAACGGCAGTGGTGATGCACCACAGACAGAAGCGGAGAAGGCGCAATTTGCGCAGGCTCAAGAAGACGATGCAATGAGACAACAGATGAGGCAGGTAGCGCGTCGTCTGATGACGGAGAAGGCTTACCGCTATCGGAAGGAACGTCTCGCAAAAGAAATTACGTCTGGTTTGTCTACGAAGGGATCGACAACGGCGAGCTCAGCAACAGGGACATCGCAATCAGCGAATGGGGTGCCCCTGGATTCTAGGGCGTCACGAGCGATTGACTTAGTAGTCTTACGCCTGCCGACCGGAATGTCAGAAAAGGTTTCTCGTTTTTGTATGGTTCTTCGCAAAGGCAACAACAAGGCATATGCAGCACTCGCAATGGCGAATGGCAACATTAGTAGCTATTAGAGAAAGTAGTGAGTGAGATAAATGAGCAAATCGTGGTTGTTGAATTGTTGTTTACGCTCATTTTTCGCAACACGTGTTGTTCTCAGATAATAAAGTATCTTAAAGTGTTTTAAGTTTTAAGGGAATAGTTGTGATTTATTTGATTCGAGTCCCTGCTTTTATATGCATTGGACTCGTAATCCTTGAGCCATTAAAGGACACCTCTTAAGGTGAAAAGGGTTCTCGTTTAATCTATGATTCAATCCAAAGGCAGCGTCGCCACGTCTTCAACTGATCGTGGCTTCCATTATAATATTTGGCCTTATACGTTTAGATTGTACTCCTTCGATATTTAGGGATGCCCTTATGCCCATCAGAGATTTTCGATATTGATGATTCCGTACTCCCGGCACTTCGGCTCCGAGATTAATTTCCATCTGTAATATTTCTGTGTCCCTCTCTAAGTTTAGATTCTCTCCTTGGTTGATGTTGGGATAAACCTTGTTAAGCCTCCGGTGTTTGACCGTAGTTTTATGCTTGGTAAACAATCCTGGTTTACTGTAATCAATAACACGCAGCACGTTCTTTCTGTAGCTGGCTTTGCTGAGCAAGGCCCGCCGCGCTTGCTCAGTTGGCTCCAGCAATCATGGGCACTTTACGGCCCATCCTTGTTCGATTTCATTAAGATTGAGGACGGAGTTAGTACTAGGGTCAAGGCGCGGGTGAATAACTAGCAGCCGAAGCGCCCGCAGAATGGTAATGGCCAACAAGCGGGTGGTGGTGGTGGTGGTAACCACGGAGGTAAGAACACCAAAGGAAGAGGTGGTCAGCAGCAGCAACCGAACCCCTAACAGCAACAATGGCAGGCGCAACTTGATTATTTGATTTATAAGTCGCGTAAGGACCGGAAGAAGCATGGGAGTGAATATCGCAATCGAGGCCGGTGGTCGAGCCCACGCTCTCGATCTCTGAGAGAGCGAAATCCGGGGCGGTATCACAAGAAGGACAGGCATGAGCGTTATTCCAAGCCTCGGAAGTCGCGTTTTTAGGATGACGGCTCGTGCAGAGGGCGTTCGCATTCACGTTCTGGGAAGGACCAGAAGCGCTCGCGGGGGCGTGGAAAGAATAGAGGGGGCTGTAGTGAAGACAGGGCGTATTCCGAGTCGTCGGAGTCGGAAAGTGACCTATATTATACAGTTTGTCACAATACGAAACACACGGTCGAGGGCTGCCCACGTTATGGAAAGTCGGCAGGCGCTGCTTCAAAGAAAATGCCGCGTCGCAAATGAAATGGTGCGGTGGTTCCTGCAATAGTTGGCGCTGTTCACACGTGGGCATATGCGGATTCGGGTTGCACGTTCAACCTTGTGACGAACCGCATGCTTGAGAAGCTCGGTGTGACACCCAGGGACAGGTATGCAGAGCCACCATTGGAAGGAATAGATGGCATAAGGACGTTGGCTCCCAAGTTTTCAGTGCCATGGGATGACTTGGAAGCTTTGATATTTGGTCATCCTTGGGGAAGCATATGCGTTAGCAGAAGGCCACCCTTTTTATGTCGTGGAAGACATATCTATGGGCTGTGACATACTCATTGGGTATGACCAGATGTTTTTAGGGTTTGTGAGCTGATCTTAGTACCTCAGTCAGCCATTAAGGGGTCGTGGCTTAAGGATACAAATGTTCCTTTGAGCCCGCAAGTCAAGCTATTGCTTGTTCCGATAGTAGAAACCGCGGGCGCGGGGCAAGAAGGTGATGAAGAAGCGGCATAAGCCGCGTCGACCATTAGAGCGTGTGGCTGGTGGAGTCAACGAGCGTTTTCGCAGCAGTGTGGATAGCGATAGTTCTACTGAGGACAGTACTTTGCAGCCCACTGCGGCAAGTTCGGCGTCTGAAGTGTCGTCTGGGGATGACGACTGTCGGGATATTATGTCGGACTCTGATATCTCGAGTGACGAGAACATAACATGGCCCACTATGGGTTATCGTCCGTTGACCAGTGTCTCTGAGGCGTCCGATTCCAACGGCTCGGAAGGATGCAAGTGACGACAGCAGTGAGCAATCCTGCAGGAGCCTGTTATCCGATTCGTCGGATGATACTGATTCTGTTCCTAGTACAGAGTCCATGAGCCGGCCTAGGGCGCATAACAAGCGTCCCTATCCGGCCAGACGAAAGAAGGCGACAGCTAGGAATGACAATGCTACGCATGAGTCGTTCACGATGTCTACGCGGGTGGCGAATGGTGGACCTAAGTCCGCCATGGCAAAACCTCCGACCGGTTCTTTTCGTAGGGTACCCGCAAGCGGGCCTACTTGAACCGATGAAAAGACGGGGGCTCATGGCCAGCGTGTCCCGAGACCAACGCAAGCGGTGACTAGTGGACCTAAGTCCCCTACGACCTCTCTGCCAAATGGCTCACTCGGGGTGACCTCCACAGGAGGCGCCTCCGGTGTAGAAGTCCAAGACCTTCGGGCCTTGCTATTAGCAAGGGCGGAGAAGAGGCGCGTGACACGTGAGGAGCATACTGAGCAGGACTCTGTCCCGGCGAAAGTCATCCCGCAAGCCAAGGTTGTGGAAGGGGTATTCCTCCTCGCTTGCCAGATATGGTCAATCGTATCGATCTCCCAAATCATGTCCTCGATGACTCAGATAAGCCTGAGATCGAGGACTGTGATCGGCGTGCAAACAAATGTTTAGAGTTTGACCGTTCTGGATTACGCCAGCTGGCCAAGGAAGCTAGCAAGTCTGAATCGGACCTGGCACAACTGGAAGCCTTGATTGAGGGACGAACCTATGAAAAGCAGAAGCACAGGATCATGAAGGTTGACCCAATCAAGCTCTACCCGGTAGAGTCCGTAGTCAGGAGAACCTACCCCTCGATCACCCTGAGATGGTGGCTATGAAGGGCAAGATTGATGACCTGGTCAAGCAGAGCATCGTTGCAAAACAAGAGAATGAGGAGATTCTCTGGTCCACGAAGTCTTTATTGGTACCGAAGAACCCGCGGGTTACTCCTCAGACCGTGGACGACTGGCGGTATTGCACGAGCTTCGCCAAGAAACCCTGGATCGCCTGTTTGACGGTTTACAGGGTATCAAATGGTATATTGATAACATCGTAATCTCCTCTGTGGACGCCTCGGAGCATTGGGATCACCTTATTGCATTCTTTGAACGGTGCGACAAATATGATATCCAGTAGGTCTGTCAAAGGCGTGTATTAGATACTATAAGCGGCATGTGAAGATCTTGGGGCGCTGGTACAGCCATCAGGGCGTCACGATCTCAGCTGATCGGTTAGCAGCACTCCTTGAAGTTGACCGTCCCGACAGCCAGGACCGTGTGCGATCTTGGTACCACACTGTGGCTTTCTGACAACGATATATTGATGGGTTCTCTAAGATTCTGAAACCAATATCAGCCATGGGTGCTGACCAGCAAGCCGCGTTTGATTTAATCTACGAGAGTCTGAAGCAATGTGCGGTCCTTGCTACGCCAGAGCCGGGTGAACAGCTTTACCAGTTCACTGATGCTTGTGAGCATATCGGCCTTGGTGGTGCGATCTATGTGCTGAGAAAAGGGGAACTCTGGCCAGTGCCGTATTTTTCCTCCCTATCATGTTGCTAACAAGGAGTGGCTTGCGCAGGAGTACGGTCTTCGGAAGCATTGGGCGGTGTTTGGCAACTCTCATCACCCTATCGCAATCTTCACTGACCATCAGGCACTTTCAAACCTGTGGCTCCGTGAGTTCTTTGCGGATGACCCACGTGGCCGGCGGCAGGCACGCTGGCAGGAGGTTTGTCGGGACCCGAACTCTCGAATTACCACTGATGTATGACAATTCTGCATGGGATTACTACAGTTTCAAAGGACCATGTCATGGCAACTGTTCAAGACTTGAGAGACGAACCCGTTCATGGTCGGTATTCGGTAACGTTGAAGTCTAATGGAACGTGTCTAATGATTCTGTTTTGTTTTGCGTTGTCAAGCATGTTAATAGCCAGCCAGATTTTACACTACTGTAGGCAGAATTGACATTAATGGACGGTTTATGTCACACACTCTAAGTTTATCGGTTTGCGCATGCTTACGTTGAGAAGCGTTGGGAAGGCTATGTGTACACGGAGGCAGAACTCTGATGACATTAGCATTGGGCAATTCCCGGGAGTATGATAAATTCAAAGAAAAGTACAACCTACAAGATGAGAAATGATAAGTCACTTGCTTTTACTTTTTTTCACATATATGTATATATAAGACCCGATCCAATGTATGTAAATTTGAACGCCGATACTCAATAGCTCAATGCTAGCTCATTGCTAAAGAAAATTCACTATATTTCCACCATTGTTTTAATTATCCAGGTACAGCCCTGTATTTCATGTCAAGACATACGTGAAGCAGTATTCGGCGACTCTTCAAATTCCAAATGAACTCGATATCGAGAGCAAATTATGTCAGGTATATCCCTCAAACAATCCTGGTCATCGAGGACATAAAAAGGGTCGACGTACGAGGAATCGAAGTGAATACAAGCGCCAAGGAAAAGCACGAATATGCAAAATTTGTTCTGCGAAGTATCACACTGCCAAGACTTACCGTATTGGTAGTGGTAGTT